ACTCGCGTGTGAGTGCGGCTTGGTCCAAGTGGCGTTCTATGACGGGAGTTCTCTGTGACAAGAAAATCCCAGAACGCCTCAAATCGAAGATCTATAGGACAGTCATAAGACCAGTGGCATTGTACGGCGCTGAGTGCTGGCCAGCGACCAGGGAACTGAAGCTCGCCTCGGTGTAATGGAGACGAAGATGCTGCGCTGGACGGCTGGTGTCACGCGATTAGACCGCATTCGAACGATGTCATACGAGAACGCTTTGGTGTAGCTCCCATTGCTGATAAAATGCGCGAAGCTCGTCTTCGATGGTATGGTCACGTTCTTCGCGGAAATGATGACAGTGTCGTAAGATCGGCCTCAACCTTGACGTGCCGGAAAGCGGCCTAAGGGACGCCCGAAACAGCGCTGGCTCGATACGTTGCACGCAGACTTGAAGTTGGTTAACATCCACCCCGATCAAGCATTTAATCGGGAAAAGTGGCGTCAGCACATCAGAAAAGCGGACCCCGCCAACAAGCGGGACAAACGCTAAAGAATAAGAAGAAGAAGAAGAAGATCTACTTGACAAAGCGAGCCTTACCACCATAGCGCGTGCTAGCAATTCCAGGGTACTGAAGGATTTTCATGCTCCACCTGAAGCAAAGTAGAGCAAAGGCAACCTTGCATAAATTTAAGCAAAAGTTTCCAAGTGTTTACTGGGTCTCCGGCAGCTCCTTTCGAAGTTCGGATAGATCTGTTCCGAGTCCATCGGAGCACAACACTAAAGGCATCTTTCGCGACTGAATAGGCTAGCGATTGGTGCGTCCAAAAGTGAAAGTCCTCTAATTTCCCGGTAGATAGATAAGACCGCGCCGATTTAACGTAAAAACACCTACCGCTCGTGCAGTGTAACTTTGTACACCTTAGAAACTACCGTAAATTTGCCTATAGAGGTAATTCGATGCCCTGATTACGAAAATGACTTTCATTTTAGCGGTGGCGCCAGTTGGCGTCACCTTGTCACGACACCTGTTTTCACCAAATTTGGTGTAAACTTCCGTATAGGGTTATTTGGTGTCCTGATTACGAATATGACATTCATTCTCGGCTGGCGCTATTTGGCGCCTATTTTCTGCTCGTCTGCGCTCTCCAACCGAGAAACGTTAACGCCAAAAACGAATGTCATATTCGTAATCAGGGCACCAAATAACCCCTATACTGAAGTTTACACCGATTTTGGTGAAAACAAGGGTCGTGACAAGGTGACACCGTCTGGTACCACCGCCGTACCGGAAACGACATTCTTTTATGGCGCCATCGCCAAAAAAGGATGTCGTTTTCGTAATCAGCATATCGAATTACCCTATGGGCAAGTTACGGTTGTCTCTAGATGTACAAGTACACCAGCGGAGGTGTTTTACGTGATGCCGTCGCGGGCTTATCCACCGGAAATTAGGGTAGTTTTGGTGGTTAGTATTCCAGTAAGCCAGTCAGGCGGGGGGGGGGGGGGAGACAAGAAAACTGCCATTCTTGAAATCATATGGCACGTTGACGGTATTGGCAGAGTCCACGCCTAAGACAATCTCATTGGTTGGCTCCACTTCCTCCATATGTTACCGTATTCAACCATATCAAAAGGAAAGGGGGAGTCCCTTGAAGCGCGAGCATTGATTTCGCAAATACGATCAGAGTGTAATGTTACTTCATCTTCGACCTCCCTTCATAACTGGTGGACGAAACACTACAGCCAATTCGTTTTCGAGCTCATAATCTACCAAATATTCTACTGCGGAACGTGTCTCTACGGTCGCTGTGAGGAACAAAGCACCCACTATGATTAAATCCAATAAAAAATATTGGGACCTGCAAAGTTTATTACGAGAAAGAAAATCGGTATAAGTTCAAAATTCAATAGAGGTAACGCCCTAGGAAAAAGTGTAAAAAGCACGTGTATTTTCAAGGCCTTGTAAGCATTAAGTTCAGGAGGAGAGGATAGGAACAGAAAAGAAGGAACATTACGTCCCAATTATGTTGCACTTAATTTATTTTGACGCACCTAAGAACTACTCACCTTGCATTTGCAGTAACACTCGACCAAATGAAAATTATCTCTGCCGTCACCAAAGAGAGATTTCTGCCGCCTTCTCAACTTTGACCCATCCCAAGACCACACAATCGGTCATTAGTGTATCTAACCATTTAGGTAATTGACACATGGTGGAAGTTCTCCCAAAGCAAGTAACAAACACGGGAAAATACAGAGTGTCTAACTAACCAAGATGCCACCAACGAGCATATTGAACTTGACATTGGCGACCGTGCTCGCAATCCGACTACAGATTTTCATAGAGAAGCAGCGCGCTAACAAAAACTTAGTCAATGCAATTTCAGAATGCCGAAGACACATCTTAAGGATGTGTTGGTTGACTTCACAGCTATTATATTTACTTTCGCCTTTTTTACCGATTAACTAGGATCATTTTTTCCACTTCGGCACATAACGTGACCCCTTTACACTCTGGAACTAAAGAACCTTAATTAGTGATAACACTAGGTTTCACGGCTTACCTGAATATAATGGATGTTGGTAACCCCCACCGAATCCACGTCGCAATAACAGCCGAGAAATAAAGAGACACTCCATCAGCGTGTTTTTGCCCGTCTCTCTTGAATCCCATCCCGAAGGAGGCCTATCAATAAGGAGCTGTTTAAACAATTAACACTAAACGGTAGAAGCCCCACAATATAGAGGAGCTGCTAATTGAAAGGCTTTTAAAAACGTATTCTAAAACGCAATGGAGGCAAAAAATTAAGTAAACCTCAATACCTGGAATAAACTGCTTTTCCCGCTGGCCCGTTCTCCCCACAATCGCAACTTTCTCTCCTGCGTTTATTGAGAGGTTAATATTATCCAACGCCAGGGGTAAGTAGCTGTTGTAGCGCAACGAAACCTGGTCGAATTGAATACGGCCAGCGAAATCGAAAGCGACCTGAAAATGTAGTAGATATATCCTATTTAAACGTAATCTCATTCGAAAAGAAAAAATGAAGTAGTAAACAGTAATTAGCATTCAAACACTCATAAAGTGGAAGTCGAAATTTACTGCTTGAAACATACCTCTGCTTCACCCCGGTCATCCTCCATTTCCACATTCGTGAGATAGTCTTCTATTCTCTCAACGGACACCATTTCCTTTTCGGTTTCGATGAACGAGCCCAGTAATCCATTCAGGAGCCCAGTTAATGATAACGCGTATGTTATTGCCAATGCAACGAGACCTGAAGGGACCACTCTTAGAAAGGAGAACATATCTTGAAGGAGCGCGAAATGGTATCACAATAGCTAGTGTGCAAAATTTAATCGTAGAAACCATCGAACCTGAGTCAACTCCCGTGATTTGATGCTGTATTACAGCCGACACAGCAATTGCTGCAACAATGCTGACGGCTATAATTGACAGTCGGATGGATAGCCATTGGCCAGCGGCAATAGATGAGAACTGCGCTCGCATGTTCACTGTGAGACGTTCACGTAACTTCTTTCCGAATCTTAATAAACGATGATCATTAGTGAAGCATGGCTACTTCGAAGGAGCGTAAGGCACCAACGCACAAACAGGATGAATATAATTGAATGAATGACCCTGAAGAGGGGAGCGTCATATTTTTTGGCTATGGAGAAACAAACGCTAAGGCTGGTGTCAGAGTCCGCGATCCGCTCTTCGCGATTTTCGCGATTTTCGCGATTTGCGCGATTTTCGCGATTTGCGCGATTTTCGCGAAACCTGCGATGGATCACAGGAGTTGGAAGTGCCCGATGAATACTGCGAGGTGTTGTTTAATCCTGCTGCGAATTCTGCTTGGCAGTAAAGATTGGAAGACGAATGTTTGTGGTTCTACTTGTTTCATGTTCAATGTCTATTAGTTCATTGAAATGCTCTTGAATCGTTCCTATTTTTTTCAGGAATCAAACCAAACCAATCACAAAAATTGCAAGTGCCCCATTTGAACAATTGAAACACTGGATATGTGGAATCATGAGCAGTCTCCATTAAACCATAACCATCAAGCAGAAGTGACGGCGGGATTGGTGA